TGTGTAACCTGTAGTTGTTTCGCTGTGGTGAACTGTGGTAAGACCCGACATTACTGTAGCTGCGATAACACAATATGCGCTCCGTCCCCATCGTCGGCAGCCAGAGCAGAGGCTTAGTTCCGATGGTGCCTCTAGTAGTCTGACTCCATGCCATTAGTGTCTTGTGTGGACTGTCAATCAGATCTCCTGATCGCTCCCTGCAGCATCACCTTCAGACCACAAAGCTCTGTTCGTGCTTCTGCACTGCTCACTCGCTCCCACTTGGTCACATCTAACCTGTTCTACAGGATTGGTTCCTTTGACTTTCTATATAATAGTAATATGTTAACTCCCTCAGTCCACACGTGAATTTGTTAAGCCAGCATTTTCTTGAAATATACACAAGGCGTTCTAACGCTTGAAAACAAAAGAAGGTGAAATATAAATCGACAAAAAGAAGGCAATTGAAAGATGGACAGGGTGTATCAAAGAACTATACGATGATAACAGCAGACCAGACATAAAGAGTCATTAGTATTGAGAAGGACCGCTAATGCTGAAACCAGAAGTGGAAGATGCTGTAAACCACAAAAAGAAATATAAACCTCTAGGACCGGATAACGTCACGATTGAAGAAATAAAAGCTGCTGGTAAACTAGGTTTAGAAGTTTTGACAAAATTGGTCAATGTTATTTTTAACAGAACAGCAGAAACACAGAAGTAATGGTAATTACAAAGAAAAAAGACCCTACAAAATGTAACATCAAAGTCAATGGGACAAACCTCAAGCAAATTAGTATATTTCAGTACTTTGGTACCCTGATAACATGTTTAAGTACTTTGGTACCCTAATAACATGTTTAAGTACTTTGGTACCCTGATAACATGTTTAAGTCCTTTGGAACCCTAATAACATGTTTAAGTACTTTGGTACCCGATAACATGTTTAAGTACTATGGAACCCTAATAACATGTTTAAGTACTTTGGTACCCTGATAACATGTTTAAGTACTTTGGTACCCTAATAACATGTTTAAGTACTTTGGTACCCTAATAACATGTTTAAGTACGTTGGTACCCTAATAACATGTTTAAGTACTTGGGTACCCTAATAACATGTTTAAGTATTTGGGTACCCTAATAACATGTTTAAGTACTTGGGTACCCTAATAACATGTTTAAGTACTTTGGTACCCTAATAACATGTTTAAGTACTTTGGTACCCTAATAACATGTTTAAGTACTTTGGTACCCTAATAACATGTTTAAGTACTTTGGTACCCTAATAACATGTTTAAGTACTTTGGTACCCTAAAAACATGTTTAAATACTTTGGTACCCTAATAACATGTTTAAGTACTTGGGTACCCTAATAACATGTTTAAGTACTTTGGTACCCTAATAACATGTTTAAGTACTTGGGTACCCTAAAACATCATATGCAAGATGTATTAAAGAAGATACATGTAGAATATTTCAGGCAAAGGCAGCAATTTACAAAATAAAGAATAGTTTATGCAAACTTGTTATTAGCTGAAACAAAAAAGGAGAATTCTTAAAAGCACTATAAATCCAATCTTGATATACGAAAGTGAATCATGGACAGTTGGTAAATTGGTGAAAACTCATTTGGAAGCTGCAGAGATGAATGATGAGAATACCCTGGACAGATAACAAAGAGTAATGAAGAAGTCTTGAAAGAAACTGACTCACGAAAAGAACTAATTGTCTACATCAGAAAAAGACAATCTACATTCCTTGGTCATGTGATGAGAAAAAGAAAACTGGAGTACATTGTGACAGTATGAAAGATGGAAGGCAGGAGTGGCAGAGGAAGACCGAGAGAACAGATGCTGGACATTTTGACATCATGGCATTGAGTATCATATCCATCAGAGCTGACTGAAAGTACATGAGACAGAGGTTAATGGATAAACATGTCTACCAAATACTTGTAGAAAAAGAAGTATCTGACGCTTGTTTGGAACTAGAAGTTGAACAGTATTTCTCTTTCAATTTCTAACAGATGCGAAAATATAACGTACGATACAGCAAGTCTACCTACAGCTGGGATAGTTCTCATCTTTGTAGATGAAATGTGGTCCGCGCTGATGAGAACGATTTACAGTATTCTAGACGCTGGTCCAGAAGAGCTGATCTCTGAGATTATCCTAGTTGACGACGCTTCTCAGCGAGGTTAGTATTTATGCGTGTATGTATGTGTGTCACGTGGTGAGAGGATGTATCATTTCCGTTTCTGAAAGAAGGCTGTCACGACTCAGGGGAGGTTACAGTAGTGTTGGTGGCTTCTTATCTGGATCCCCATTGGTGAGCCTGGATATGTAAGAACCTATATACAACGCCCCTGGGTATGAGGAGGTGAGTGGACACGCAACGTTGCCCTATTCCTGCCTCTATATCCTCAACACCTAATTCACCAACCCTCTGGCATTGGTCTGATGAATCAACAGCGGAAATTACTAATGGAAGGTAACCAGAGCTAGCTTACTAAAGACGTAGGAGATATATTATACGTATATATTATACGACGGCAGACAAAAAAGCAACGATAAACTTCTGGCGCCAAAATTCTGCATCTTTATTTCAAATAAGTGACGTGCCTTCGCTCTGTAGATAAGATACGATTTGGAACAGTGCCATTTGGACTAAAGCGTGGACAAGAACAATCTAGATCAGTGGTTCTCAACCTGTGGGTCGCGATCTTTTTGTGGATAGAACAACATTTTACAGGTGTCGCCTAAGACCATCGGAAAATACATATTCGTTGAAGTTATGAAGTAGCAACGAAAATAATTGTATGTTTGGGGGGTCGCCCCAACTTTTGGAACAGTAATGAAGGGTTGCGACTTGAGAACCTCTGATCCTTCTATATATATATAAAAAAAGGACATTTGAAACTATTCTCTAGCTAACCTATCAGGCCACTAATAAGTCATGCTTGTTTAATCATCTTACGAATGATCATGAAGAGGATTGAAAGAAAACTACACAATGAGCTACACGAAACATTCGCGGGTTTCAGACAGGTTAAAGTGAAATAGACAGGCTAGACGTACTAGGAATCACATCTTTAATATGAGAATAAATACTGGAAAATTTACAGAATATAAGATAGATCCCTATGTTTGCTTCACTGATTATAGCAAGGCCCTGGATTGTGTCCAACATCAGAAACTGTGGAGTATCATAAGAAGTATTGGGTTTCCAGTGAACGCTTATATAATGAACAGGAAGCAGCCATTAGAGCGGCTGGAGGAACATCAGATTGGTTCTATATGCATACAGGAGTAGAGCAGGGGTGCATTATTTCACCATACCTATTCAATTTTATGCAGAAAACATAATGAGAAATGTCAAAAATGACCAGACTTGTGACAGTTGTAATCTGCCCGTAACTATGACAAATCAATTCCAGAACTTCGATATAGTAAAGACAACCCTATTACAGAACTTTGCTATGCAGATGGCACAGTCGTCCTTTCAAAAAATGTAAAGGGAATAGAAAATGTAATTATGTCTGTCCAAACACAGCTTAGATCCAAACCTATTCTTGAATTTAAAGAAAAGAAAATGATGTTGATAGGCAAACCTCGATGTCATCCCCTCCCCCCCCCCCCACCCCCACCTCTCCCCCCAAAAATTATGAATATATTTAAAATGGCATAAACTTTAAACATATAGGCTCCATAATAAACAGAAACAGAAAATGTCGAACGAAAGTCAAAAGGAAAATAGCCCTAGCAATACAAAATTAAACAGCATTTAAAGTCTATAGTTACACACTAGCAGGGAAAAAAATGTTATAATTTTGAGAGCATGCATTTTCCCTGTAGCAAAATACGGATTGTCATGGACTATCCCCTAATCCTTAAGTGAGAAAATACGGCCTGTTGAGCTGAAATGGTATAGAATGATCTTCAGAAGGAAAAAAAATTTAGACAAATGAACAAAGAAATACATTCTAAAAGATCTGAACATCGAGGAAGATTGACTGATAAACAACACTTTGAATTAGAACATAAAATACTTTCGTCATATCAAGCGCCACGACAGATTAGGAAAAGATAATAGCAGATGACATGGTGCCAGGGAGGAGGGAAAGCGGCCGAACAACACGAAGATGGGCACATGATATAAGTAACTCCTTGGATTTAAAAGTGCACAAGGGTGAGAGCTGGCGAGAGATCAAGTTTCTTTCAGACAGACCGTGATGAAAGCTACGTTCTGCAAGAGACCGGCTATATGATGATGATAATGAAACATCTTTAATTATGAACGACATCCATTTATTATTAAGTGCGCAGCAGTGGCATCTGTACTCCGACTAGCCGCTCGACGACTTATCTCTCATTAGAACAGATATGGCTCATTTTACGGGTAGGGCTTTTATTTAAAAAAAGCCTGCGAGATCTTATATTTTTGGAAGGGCATTTTTTTCGGGGGGGGGGGGGGGAGGAGGGGCGGGGGGGGGGAGGAACACGGTATTTTGACAATAACACGCTGAGGCAGAAGGAGCAATTGTTATGCCTTACAACGTCTTTGGGCACATGGTGTCTTGTTTTCGCCTTTTCCTTCCCTACTTTTATAGTTACATTAGCATATGTCAAAATGAGTGCCCTAACTTCATGGTCGGCCCTGTGGCTAAGTCGATGCGAACGCTTTGTAATGCAGGGATGCCGGGTTCGATCCCAGCTGAGGGCCATGCGCCTTGCGTTGGTTTCGACAGTGGTATCAAGAAAGCCGACCGTCCAGTGGGCAATGGCAAACTACTTTAGGTAAATTTGCAACGTCCTGTAAAGGATACGCAACTAAGCTTAATTATTATTCATGAATGGTTTCAAATAATGGGATGTAGTCACATCCTAATTTGATATCGGTAGTTCAGGTTTTTGGTAAAATTTAAATAATCTGGCTGGTTCACTACAAAATATAGATAAGTTATGAAAACATTCATGGAAAGAGGGAAGGTAATGTGTGTATGTGCTCGCGGAGAGAGAGAGAGAGAGAGAGAGAGAGAGAGAGAGAGAGAGAGAGAGAGAGAGCGTGGGTTTGTTTCAAGATGGCATGATGTTGACGACATCACCCACTCTAGTGCTGATTGGTCTATAAAAACTCGTCTCGCCCTACATGCCCAGTACCTCTAACTGCGTGCAACCTTTGTTTTATACTTTAAAAAAAAATATTTAACTGCTGTTTATACCGGCATGTGCCTGTGTGTAAAATTATTGCTTGGTTTTATGCACCTAGTTTACATTATTTCATGCAATAGACATACGAACTACAGAATGTATAATGTGGGACTATATCAGCTACTTGTACGGCGTTGACATAAAGACCACATATTCTATGCTAACATATATGTAAAATGACTTTTTTTTACACCTTTACGCGTACTGGCCACATAGGGCTAGACCTTTATTTTATAAACCAATTTGAACTTGATGGGTGATGTGGTCAGCATCACACCGTCCGAATTTGCTTCTCAGGACTTTTATTTGGCACCTGTTTAAAGCGAGTCAACCTGACAGGCAAGATACATTTTTTACCCAAACACAAATGTCCAGTACTGTCTGGTTTTAAACCCACGACCTTGGGATCCGGGGGAACGTATAGCCACTACGCTACGTCAGTATATGAGAGGTTATTTAAAGAAAATGCCCCTTTTTACACCAGTTTCACACCGGGTATATGATGCTGGACTCAGACTTCTAGAGTCTTGTCGGCGTTTGGAGGGTGTGGGTCAACATCACGCCAAATCAGTTTACTCTTAAGGTTATGACCTTGTACCCATTTAAAGCTGCGACCATCTGGGAGCCCAAGACAGTTGTGGAAAAACAAACTCTTCCTTGATGCAAATACGAACCCAAGACCTTCGAGGCGGCAGATAAGATAAAAGGAAGTTATCTATGGTCATCTGCAGCTTCTACAGCCCAAGAAATTCCTAGGCTTGTTGATATGCATCCTTCCGTCATTAGTATTCAATTAAGAGATGCTCACAGCAAAGAGATCCAAAGATTCGGATGGCTTGCTTTGTGCGGCGCTCTGGGCAGGCGGCTAGCAGGTCAGCGATGAATGAAACCCAGGAGTATGGGATACGTGTGGCTCTGTGACAAGAGCTTAGCGAATTCGGTTTAACCATTTCATGAACCAGGAATACAAAGGTTCGATTTACACCGCGGAAGGTTTTTAAAGACAGCAGTGAGTGCTCTGTAGTCAACCTTCACTGTGAAGACGGTGCAGCAAAATATAATATGGCATACACCAGCCGCAATCTTCTTCTTCTTCTTCTTCGCGTTCAACAGCTGTAAACTCTGGCGGAAAGTTCTGGTTCCTCGTCCACTACTGAACTGCAGTCCTGCTCCAGAACCTGAGTGTTGCGTGTGCATCAGTTTTACAGATCTCATTCTCTTGAATACAGACTGTTGGTTCCCTGCCTCTCCGGCAAATGTACTCCGACTTTAAAGGAATCTCCCCAATTAGTCGACTCTTACGACATGCTGTTGAGGAGGCAGTGGGTCTATTCTTGTTTTCCCCACAATGGGGCCCCGAAACCCACACGGGGGATCAGCCGCAATAAAGTCGAATCTCTCGCTTTAATCTTTTACTCCTTTACAGATGATGTCTTAAAGCGTTTTGGGCGTATGGGGCCTGATTTATTTTTTAAAAATCAATCGGCACTCGATGGATAGGTATATAATGCTAGTAAAGCAAATAAATATAAGATCAACCCTTTCCCACGCCTATATGCGCATTCTTCCTCTTCTTTTTTCGTTCGCCTGAAAAAAGTTGTCTATATCAGCAGTTTTGTCTCTTGTATAAATGTCACTGTCGTTGTTAGTACATTCAGTGGTCCATAGAGTTTACGTTCCACTGTTGTTCTTTCTGGCCAAAAGGTTTGCCTTAATGTGTAAAATTCGGTGCAGTCCTGGAGTACATGCTATGCTGTCTGGGGCACCTTTCCACAGGTGCACATGGCTGATATACCCATCTTGAATTGTGTGTACATGTGGTTACGTAATCGGTTGTGCCCTGTTCTGAGGCGTATTTAGCATATAGGGCTAGACCTATATATTATAGACAATCGGCACTCAGTGGGTGATGTGGTCAGCATCACGCCGGCTGCCTTAACTTCTTATGATTTCACCAGTTACCCATTTAAGTTCCACGGAAAGCCAGGAATATTTAAATTCAAACACACACGCACACACACACACACACACACACAGAGAGAGAGAGAGAGAGAGAGAGAGAGAGAGAGAGAGAGAGAGAGAGAGAGAGAGAGAACGAAACAAAAACAAAAAGAAAGATGTTTCCGCCAGGACTTAAACTCGCGACCTACAGACTTGCAGTCGAGCTTCTAGTCACGACACCACGGCGGCTCCTAAGATGTAAATAACAGACTTGAATAAAACTGATCACAAAAATTATCACTCTCCTGTAGGTTTTTCTTTCTTTTTTTTTAAAATGCAAACAGACCATCTCGGCAAGCCTCTAGATGACTATATTAGGATCTTCGCTGGAAAAGTCAAAGTAGTTCGTTTACCAGAGAGGAAAGGTTTGATAGCGGCCCGATTGGTTGGATTTGAGCACGTGACAGGAGAAGCTGTTATCTACCTTGATGCTCACTGTGAAGTTGATAAAGGTATCACACGATTACATAATGTGTTTGTGTTTACATAATTTTAACTTGCATCAACTTTCTTTTGTTTAGAATTGGTTTGGTGAGCATTGCACGCGACATTGGTGCTTCTAGCAAATTATCATTATCAACATCAGTGCTCTGTTGTGCCATTATGTCATATTGGGCTTGCAGTCTAACTCCATAACGTTCTATCTTGCTCAATGTCATTGATATCATTTATCGATCTCAGTCTAGCACGCTAAGCCTCGTTTTAGGGTTTCTTTTAGACCTTCTCACTTTCTCAATCTCATTAGGTTCCATTCTATTGCCTGTTTGGTGGTTCTCCGTTAGTTTATTCCCTGCAATGACTCTCCTTGGTTCTAGTCATGCAGCATTTTCGTACACATTGACAACTACTTCGGCACATCGTGCTTGAAATATGAAAACACCTTGAGGAACACTGAACAGTTGATAACAACGCTGGTTTATTGTTCCAACAATGCTCATCAGTCAGAGCGCTAGAAGTCTTGGATGCCACGACACCGAACATTAGAATTCATTATCTGAACAGGATTTTCTAACAAAGTATTTTCAGCCTTTCTTCTTCTCTTCTTCACCTCAAATCTCACCAACCTGTATTCAAAATCACTGGCACGTGCAGCAAACAAGATTAAGCCTTTCTAAGATGTCAGGCTAAACAAGATGACCACATTTTCTCAGGAACCACGATCGAAGCTTGCTTGTAGACTCATTCGGCTTTCACTCTCCCAGTGCCAAAAGATTAGACTCTCTCAGGATTGAAAACATAACAGTGCTCTCTTATTCTCTCAAGACTTAAACATAGCCTTTTCCTTTTCCTCATGAACTTCAAAATTCTTCTCAAGCACTTAAAGTATCTTCGTTTGGCATGCTTCGGTCAAACTGCAGAAACTTCCCGACGGCCTCGGTTTGACACTCGATTGTATCACACATGCATTATGCTTAGTACTCAATACTACCTAATTGGATTGCCAAAAATAATTTTTTATTAGCAGCTGTACACATTCCTGAGTAATGAGATGATCTACTAACGAAGGAGACAATTTCCCACCACATTCCCAGGATGTGTCCAATATAGGGCCATCTTCTTTGCAGGACTGACATTGCGAGCAAACACGAAGTAATACACAAGAACTCACTGTCATGGTCAAACAGGAAATCACCTCTAAAGTCCTCACAGAAACACACGATGAAGATTAGATTAAACATCTAATCATAGATACTTTTACTTCACAGTGCCTCTCTAGGTCAACAGCTCGACCTCACAATACAGGTTTCTCCAACAAGTTAGTGTACCGCCCAATACTGATAAACACGACCATGTCGTTCCTTTATGATTTTCTAGCAGTTCTGCCGAGCTGACTGCAATCGTCCTTGGGATTCCGGGGTAAATCTTCACTTAGGCTGAGCCACACTAGGACAACAACAACAACCGCCTCCTTAGACTTCTCGACTGCTAATATCTCTAAGATTCATTCCCCTAACAACAAAACCTAAAGCTTATGACGTCCTATTTGCTTAGTCAATATTGGTGTATTTAAGTGTGCGATCTGAACGCGACACTCTGTATATTGACCAAGTGAGGTGACAAAATAATTTCTCAAGATTTAGACAGGTTTATCTTGTTGCGCTAGTAACACAGAGACTATAAATTTAAAAACACGTCCTTCTGACCGAGGCATAGTCTAGTAACTACTCCACGGCGGCTCCCAGCGGCGTATGTACAGGTCACATGATTGTTTTTACCTTAACGTCTGAGGTTCAAACGTTACATATACAGCAAATGTTAATCAGCTGCGATTGTCAGGTTTTTTTTTTTTTTTTGTCTATTGGCAGACTCACTGTCATAAATAAAAGTGCATGAGTGCAGTGTTTGTAAAATTTAGAGTATTATAATCCTTCTCCATCTTTTCTTTTAGGTTGGCTGCAGCCATTGCTGTACAGAATCAAACAAGACGAATCCGTTATAGCTATTCCACATGTTAACGAGCTTCGTTGGGACACATTTGAGGTACTTAAAATATCAAAAAGACTTAAATATCAGCCAGAACTGGCTCTTGGCAGTAAACATAAGCGGCTGGCTTGATGTCCACCACATCAAAAAGTTTTCAAGTGGGCCCTATAAATTATCACAAGAAAATCGGCATAGGAGTTAACTGCCCTTCCCCCTCCCCCCTACACCCCTTTTACCCCACCTTCTCTCCGGCCATTTTTGTTTTTCATTTGAAGAAATGCGGGAGTCCACAATTATGTATGGACTTTCACTTATTACGCATTTACTTATACATTTCATATGACTTTAAATATGTTATTTTATGTTTGCTATTCAGCAAATGATAATATAATAATAATAATAATAATAATAATAATAATATTGAAAAATATTATTACTGAGCACTTAAATGAAGCTTGAACCACTTCAGCCCCTGTCCCTCAGCACCTAGAAAAGTATGATGGGGTTGAGCTCCACACACCATCACCCATTGTTTCGTTGTAGCGGCCACTCTGTATCATACTATGAGCAATATACAGTTGTGGGGTAGCATCATACGTCGAATATGGACTTAGGGAAGTACTTTCTTAACATGTTTGCTCCAAAGTGGATTTGGATACATGAAAAAAAAAAATAATAATAATAATAATAAGGGGGCTTTTAGTAAAGTGTCACTAGGATGTACCTGTAGAAACTACATCACTAGTGACTATACTTCTTCATCTTTGTTCACCGGCTGTAAGCTACGGCGTATAGTCCTGGTTGTTCGTCTTTGTGCCAGGGCCTGAGTTTTGCGTGTACATCAGTTGTAATGACTTATTTGTTTGCAATTGGTTGCTCCATGCAGCGCTGGAAGATGCACTCTGACTTCGAAGGAAGTCCCCAGTTAGTCTACTCTTACGACAATACTCACGGCTGGCCAAAAGCACGGAAACAACATTTTAAACCAGATGAGAAAGGGAAGGAGACGTAAATGAGATTACCAAAACAAAAACTGAGTGAACAAGGCAGAACGGTTTTTTTTAAACGTTTGTCTCTCTACGGAAAGTAGGTCAATTCCATTGATAAGTTTGTTGGACTAGTCTACCGTCGTTGAGGTTATGGGTGTGGTAGTCTGTTGCTGTATTGCATTTACGTTTTTATTCGGAGAAAGAGACTGCCTATGACTGCAGCTTGGCCGAGGACATGTTGAGAATGGTCAGGAATAGTTTTAATCTACTCGTTCGTCGAATGAAGTTGATTTTCAGCTATGGCGCCTGGTCTCGCAGTGTGTTTAAGAAGGCATGCACCTTATGGTTTGCTAGATCAAATCGCGTGTGATTTGCTGACTGAAGACACTTTGTATGGCTACGGCATTCACTTGAAGTACCCAGCGTATCTGACTCAATTTGTGACTGGAATCACTGGCAAGGGCGGTTGAGCAATTATGTGCCAAGCTTGTTTGCTGTGACGCCGTAACCGTAACGACTAACTAACTAACTAACTAACTAACTAACTAACTAACTAACTAACTAACTAACTAACTAACTAACTAACTAACTAACTAACTAACTAACTAACATGGTGTATCTCTTAGTTGCCCGCTTGGATCGGGCATATCAAACAATAACAGCTCGATTAACTGATAACTTTTATTATGGCGACCTCTTGCTTTGTAGAGTGGGACTGTGGTAATAGTCAATAATATAATAATGTGAATGCGATTGCAGTCAGCGTGATAAGGCAAAGTAATGCTAGTGTGACTGCAATAACAGTCAGTGTTACGATTATGTGACTGCGATAACCGTCACAAAGAGCTTCTTGATCATTGATGTTCCGAGAATGATGCGCTATGACTGGGTGCGCGAGGCTCTTAAACCCGTTCTAATGGCTTTATTACAAAAGCATGAAACAGGGTTTCATAGCCAAATTCACCAATCCATTTCAAGGCTTTCCATGGTCTTTTCAAGGATCCTTAGTTTTTTTTTTTTTTTAAAGCTGTCTCGGAGTATTAATGAAACAGTGTATTTTTGCCTTGTTAAAGGATGTACAGAGCACACATCAACAAGTGTCGCATAAGTGAATAACTCATCAATTTTGTATGAAGTATGCTCCATGGACTGGTCAGAAAAAAGTCACGCATCATATTGTATATGTAAGCGGAAGATGCCGTCCGCAGAAAGGGAATGTGGTTGCTCAAGGTAACAAGTGTTTACCGCGTCATTACGCTTGCAATTGGGGAAAATCTTTGCCCAGTGAGTGCTTGTTTAGAGGTACGAACAACTGAAAATCTTTGCCCAGTGAGTGCTTGTTTAGAGGTACGAACAACTGAAAATCTTTGCCCAGTGAGTGCTTGTTTAGAGGTACGAACAACTGAAAATCTTTGCCCAGTGAGTGCTTGTTTAGAGGTACGAACAACTAAAAATCTTTGCCCAGTGAGTGCTTGTTTAGAGGTACGAACTACTAAAAATCTTTGCCCAGTGAGTGCTTTTTTAGAGGTACGAACAACTGAAAATCTTTGCCTAGTGAGTGCTTGTTTAGAGGTACGAACAACTGAAAATCGTTGCCCAGTGAGAGCCTTTATAGAGGTACGAACAACTGGAAATCTTTGCCCAATGAGAGCTTGTTTAGAGGTACGACCAACTGAAAATCTTTGCCCAGTGAGAGCTTGTATAGAGGTACGAACTACTGAAAATCTTTGCCCAGTGAGTGCTTGTATAGAGGTACGAACAACTGAAAATCACATGATGATACATCAGGACTCTGGATGTGGCATAATTTCTCATTCTTCCGGACTAACACTTCCTGCACAGTCTTTTTCACACGCAGAAAGGCATTGTCGCCTTACAAAAGGACATCACGAGAAAGCATACCAGGATATTAATTCCAGATGGCTTCATGGTCAACGCAGGCAATTATTTGCTGAGCGGCACAAAAGGATTTCAAATAAACTATCACTAGGCGTAGGCGTCTGTGGCGTTACGGTCGCGTTTCGTAATGCCGGTGTCACAGGTTCGATCCCAGCTGCGAACCTTGCGCCTTGGGTTAGTTTCGACGGCGGTATCGGGAAGCCGACCGTCCAGTAAGAATGGCAAACTACTGGACGTAAATTTGCCTAGAAAACCCCTAAACAGCCACAAAAAATTGTTGGTTCTGCAACGTAAATGATGCGCAACCAACTTTTATCACGAGGCATTTGATAGCATATCACATACATAATTATATTTATTGAACACCTTGAACACTATTATTGGAATATTTATTATTATGCTATCAAATTATGATTTTGATTTTTTTAGACCACCAGCCTCTGTTCCCTTTGCAGCCAGTTTAAATTTTGTTAATAGTGTGTTATGTATGTATGCACGTACGTGTGAATATATGAGAAAGTAGCACTGTCTTACATTTTCTTGTTTCAGTATAAGTCTGCTCAAAACAAGGAATCTTATGCTTGTGGGTTTGAATTTGAAATGAAATACAACTGGATTAAAATACCACACATTGATGGAGTTAAACGGAAAAGCCATGCAGACCCTGTCGCGTAAGTTTGACCAATGAAAACGTGCATATCATGCATTGATACATTCAGTCGTTCATGCCTACATGCATTCATTCATTTGGTGAGTCTACATGAAACTGGCTTTGCAGTATCTACCCTCATCCCTCAACCCTACCACTCCCGCCCATGCAGTGTGAAGCTGGTAATTATGTCTGCCTGTCCCTTTATTTCAGCTAATTCTCGCAGAGCTAGATTTTTTTTTTTAAATGCTGAACTGTCCAGCAACTTCTTTCTTTATGCCCTCTCCGTCTCATCCCCTCCAACTTTCGCATTGTCACGACGTCTCCCTCTTAGATTTGTCAGAAGGTAAATTCTATCGCGTTACACGGTGTCGCCGTTTTCCTATTGGTTATATTATATTATCACAATCAACTTCACTGCACATTGGGTGTGCTCAGCCGCCTCCCCCCCCCCCCCCCATGCAGCAGCCACTTCAAGGTACCTCTTCTACAAGTTTCCATGATAAGCAGGTTAGTGTCTCCTGTCGTGACCACGAAGACGACATAGAAGTGCTTCGCTAAGCTTTACTCCCAGGTCATGCAATCGTGTTATCGTTACAGATTTAACAGTATCCCCATCCTAGTCTGTAAAGCTTTGATAATTTCAGCTCTGCACACGCTTCTTCCCGTTCGCACTGGTGCATTACTTGCTAGCTACTCAGATCTTTCTTTACCCTTTACTCCAGCATAACCAGGTGTGTAGATCCAAATGAAGGAGGTTAACTGCGACTTTCGAATGATTTCTACCAATGCAGATTGTAAACCACTTGTTACAAGTTTTTAAAATATTTATGGAGTCCGCAACGATAACCGAATGTGTGGCCGCTTGCGTTGCTACAAGTGTTAGTGTTCTTGTTAGGGAAACTTCACTCCGGGTCTTGCAAGCCGTTGTGGCCATATCAACTGATCGTACAGCAGCCATAGTAAAATATAAAAGGCTATTACCCCTAATATGGCAATGTACACTATCACATCTTAACTTCGAGATAAAATATATACTGTTAAAAAAACACACAGAAGGGGTAATAGACACCAGGATTAGGCACTAGACTGTTGTCCTGCTGACCACCTTTCGTCACTAGTTTACAAGCCGACTCACACTAGTCTTGCAGGTCTGTGCCATATCCACGTTGTTCTTTGTCCCTGAAATGTCTGTCTAACATCCATTTCGTTCTTTGTCTTTGAAGTGTCTGTCCAACATTCCCGTCATTTTTCGTCCCTTAACTATCTGTCCAACATTCCCGTCTTTTTCGTTCCTTAACTGTCTGTCCAACACCCCTGTCGTTTTTCGTCCCTTAAGTGTCTGTTTAACATGCACATCGTTTTTCGACACTTAACCGTCTGTCCAACATCCCCGTCGTTTTTCATCCCCTAACTGTCTGTCCAAAATCCCTGTCGTTTTTCGTTCCTTAACCGTCTGTCCAACATCCCTGTCGTCTTTCGTCCCTTAACTGTCTGTCCAAAATCCCTGTCGTTTTTCGTTCCTTAACCGTCTGTCCAACATCCCTGTCGTCTTTCGTCCCTTAACTGTCTCTTCAACATCCCTGTCGTTTTTCGTCCCTTAACTGTCTGTCCAACATCCCTGTCGTTTTTCGTCCCTTAACTGTCTGTCCAACATCCCTGTCGTCTTTCGTCCCTTAACTGTCTGTCCAACATCCCTGTCGTCTTTCGTCCCTTAACTGTCTGTCCAACATCCCTGTCGTCTTTCGTCCCTTAACTGTCTGTCCAACATCCCTGTCGTCTTTCGTCCCTTAACTGTCTGTCCAACATCCCTGTCGTCTTTCGTCCCTTAACTGTCTGTCCAACATCCCTGTCGTTTTTCGACCCTTAACCGTCTGTCCAACATCCGCGTCGTTTTTCGTCTTTTAACTGTCTGTCCAACATCCCTGTCGTTTTTCGTCCCTGAACTGTCTGTCCACACCCCGGTAGTTTTTTTGTGTCCCTTAAATGTCTGTTTAACATCCGCGTCGTTTCTCGACCCTTAACTGTCTGTCCAACATCCCTGTCGTTTTTCGTCCATTAACTGTCTAACATCTGCGTTGTTTTTCGTCACTTAACTCTTTGAGTCCCGGGGGGTTTAGCAACACAGGCCCAGGGGGTAGTAAAGAGAGTCATAAAATCAGCGCATCATGCGTTTATTGGGCTTCTAGGTAGGAACCTATGAACGTATGATGCGTTCCTTGGGACTCAAAGAGTTAACTGTCTAACATCTGCATCGTTTTTCGTGCCTTAACTGTCTGTCTAACATCCGTGTCGTTCCTTATACAGGAATCGTTTGTCCAACAGCCACGTCATTTCTCGTAACTGTAACTGAACTGTTTCTCCCACATCCAGGTCTGTTGCCAACCCCACGTGGATATACACTAATGTAGTGAGTGTATGGGTTAGAATCCTTACACTTCACACTTACGTGAGAAACTGGACTAATATCTGAGCTATGTTGATCCAAGAAACATTCCTGGACAGCAAAGAAAACAGCAAAAGTGGATTGTACAATAAGATGAAAATAGCTCGACTTGTAAGCACAGGAATAGGAAAAGGGTAGTTATATATCAAGAGCAATTCAAGACGAGATTATCAAGATACACCGATAACCCATTCGGCTTTCTCCTTTATTTGTATTATTTTATAACCAAAGCTCCCATCAAGTGATTTACATATAAGTGAGCTGATGTAAACTAGTATGCACAAAGATACTTGAACCTAAGTACACAATTTACCCAAGCACAAAGATACTTGAACCTAAGTACACAATTTACCCAAGCACAAAAATACTTGAACCATTGTACACAACTTGACATAAAGTTTAATAGTTCGGTCTAGAGTAAAATAAATTGAATGTAAATGATTGCAATAAAGAATTGGATGCTATAATGATAATGCATCAGTCATTGAATTCAATAGGCATATGGGAGTGATCTTGTTCTGATGAAATTACTTATAAAGAATAATAGATTACTGGAAATTAGTAAACCTCCTACAGTTTTCAATTTGAGACACTACCCATCTTTTCCCAGCTTGTTGTCCTCGCTGCTCCAAGCAGGTCGTTACACTCAGACGGTCTGCAAAGAATAGGTGCCGACTAGTTCCTACCCAAATAGAACTTAAAAGATGGCTAGATAGAGAGACAAGAAAACGTGTCATGGAGAGATCGATGTGCTGTAAAATACCTCCTGATTTATATCTTTTTATATATATATATATATATATATATATATATATATATATATATATATATATATATATATATGTATATATATATATATATATATATATATATATATATATATATATATATATATATATATATATATATCAATGTTTGTATGTTTGCTTATTACCCATAGACTTGGAAACTACTGAACCGATTTAGCTGAAATTTTCAGGATATGTTTTTTTTTTTTACGTATTTTTACCCGTCATGGTTTGAAATTGTACCTGACAGTGTTTGAGACAGGTGACGACATTTGTTGGGAAAATTTTCGAAACTAGTATTTTCATTTTAGTAACATTTAATTGAAGCCACGTTCGTAAATGCGCATGCGCAGCAGTCGAAACGCACGACCTCCACCATTCTCCGGCGTGGTACAGCAAACCAGACTATCTCTATATCGCTGATTTAGACATTAACCATATAGACACGATTTCTATTTTCTTTCCTTTCAAACAACCTTCGATGAGTTAGAGAGTAGTCGGTGGATTTGAGAAAGGGAAAGGTGGGGGGGGGGGGGGCAATCAAAGACTGTGTATGTGCAGTCAAAGATTGCAACATTTACCTTGTTAGACACGAACTATTTCTATTATTGTGCCGTTTCAATAATACTTGATGTTTATATCTGGGATATATATTTATGAGAAAACAATTGCCTACGGTTTTAATTTGTGTACAGGTCGGGACACACATCTTGAATAGTTTTGTTCTCTTTTCGTTGCTCAGAAGGAGTGGTTGGCTGGCCGAATGGTTGATACACTGGGTTTCTGTGCGGGAGACTAGGGTTCGAATCTCCAGTATGGCAGTTCCCTTTTCTTTTTTCTTTACCTGGGGGCAATATAAAACCTAGACCTGCACTGTCGTGGCGACAACACTAGCCATGTGGCCATACATACTAAAAATTGCGAGGGAAATTACACATCATAACATGACCAGTCTGTGCCGACAGCATTAGCCTTGCGGGGCCAAATCCTCTGGCTCACGACTCCCTGTCTACTCCGATGGTAAAACAGGTAGCAGTGACATTATTTTAGGTATTGTGGTGGTAGTGGTGGTGGTAGTAGTTGTACTGGTACTTGAAGGATAGTGTGGTAAATATTACACTAGCCGCATTTACTACTCATTATAATTCCTGCTCCCTATTTTAGTCTGGATGGACAGGGGTATCAAGGCCAGTTACAAATTTTTTTAGCGGGCGATGACTTTCAAATCTTTCGATGAGGGAGATAGCAGTATTCGGCGGAGGGGGAGGAGAGGGGGTGATGACAGAAATTGTTAACTTAAAGAGCTCAACGCATGATTTTAAAGTTTTCGTTTCCTAATTTGTTTAAATTTTACTAACGCTATCTCATTTTTTAACGACTTACTTTGTTATTTACAAGTACAGTACTAAGCTTTACTTACGTCTCTTAAAATAAAAACACAAACAGCTTTAGCATGTGATATACAAATAACCATTTTTTAAACTGTGCTAATAATACCATCTAAACGACCACTAATGTAAAGACACAATTATATTAAAGTGGCAAACCAGACTATCTCTTCATCTGTGCAGAGAATGATTGCGACATTAACTATATTTGACATGTGCGATTTCTATTGTCTTTCTTCTCCAAAAGCCTTTGACGAGGGAGCGAGTAATATGTGGATTTTGGAAAAAAGGGGGCGGGGGGGGGGGGGGCGTCGAAGACTATCTCTGTATGTGCGCCGATAATGACAGTAACCATAATAGGTACGTGCGATTTCTATTTTCTTTCTTTTCCATTTAGCCAAACTATGCCACAGCAACGCGTAGCCAGGTACAGCTAGTAAATATATATATATATATATATATATATATATATATATATATGTGTGTGTGAGTGTGTGTGTGTGTGTGTGTGTGTGCGAGTGTGTGTATGTGTGAGCGAGTGTGTGTATTACCTGTGTGAAGTTCATAGTTTTGTAATAATGTAGCATCCGATCTTTACTTCCAATTCTCGCATTCTTAGTAGTAATGCAGATAAACTGCTCCCAAAATCATCTAATTGACCTGTCTTTAAGAGCATTAACAATGTCGGTGCGATCTATCTTCCAGCCATCCCAGCTAAGGCAGAAGTGGCCAAGCTCTCAGCTGTTTCATTGTCAATAACAGAAGCATATTCCCAGACGAGGGTGAAGGTAGTTCTAAGTACTGTTTCGCAATTACAGAATCCGTTGTCTACGTACACAGCCTTCTTCGAGCTCCCAGATTAAGCTCATAAACTATCTCAGCACATACACATGGGAATAGTCCTGTGATTCTTGGCACATGAAAGCTTGTGTACCGCCATCACATCATTCTGTTTGCTGCTAGTAGTCATAGAGAAGCGCTGCAGGCTTCCTGTATTATTTTGCATGCAGAGCGAGCTGTAAAGGCCTATGCACTCTTGTGCCCTCGAAAAACGGACCCATCTGTATAGACTAGCACATTTTCCGCCTGTGAGTTGTCACTGATAAGAGCGTAACCCTCGGCACTCACCACAACAGCGTGAGTTAAAGAAAAAAGTAAAGGACTCTTTTTCCCGCTTTTAGGCGTATAGGGCATATAGGGCTAGACCTTAACATTTTATAGACCAATTGGCACAAGATGGGTGATGTAGTCAGCATCACCCCGGTCGCCTCTTCTTCCCGGGACTGCAGCCGGTACCCACTCAAGGCTAGGTCGACCTTCAAGCCAAGGTCATTTTTAAAAAAAAGTTCGGTTCTGCCAGGGAGCGAACCCACGACCTTCCGATCCGCGGCGAGCGTCTAGTCACTCCGCCACGGGGACTCCCGACTCTCCAGGAAATTTATATTATTAAAGTAACAAGAACGTCGATAGACAATCCCCATGCTTGTCCGCTCTTGTGTTCTAGCCAGGGGGGGGGGGGGGGGGGGGGGGGGGTGGCAGAAAAGCAGCATTCTCCCCAGATTAACGGTGTTCGTTTCACCGAGGCTGAAGGGCTTTGATGTTCACTACATTAAGCCATATGAGCTATCCTCAAAGTACTTCTTGTAAAAAAAAAAAAGCAATAAGGGTGACGATAGAGGAGAAGGTGCAGTTGAGCGGTTAAGGCACAAATGTCAAAACCTCGTCAGGGTGGTCGTATGTGAGAGTGCAGACATGCTTCATATCACCCTCTTTACTGCCCAGTGTTTTAATCTGTTGCCTTGTTGCGGGAGAGCACATAGTGCAAGGGATACTTTCGATCTGAGCTTTTCTCCATGTGACGTGTGACCTCTAAATATTGATCCTAAAAATCCTGGTGGTAAAGCTAAGAATGTATCTTATTACTGCACAACCGATTAACCTGTGTACCTTAAAATGATGGGCATGGCTTCATGTTACACATTTTCTAGTCTTTCAGTCTGTGTTTGAAAAACAGTAAGAATATTTAGAGCTGATTCAAATGAAGAAAGAACGAATTCCTGGAGAAAAAGAAGCAGGCGCAGTCTCTGTTCAGTATTGGCGCCGGCCAAGATCCACATTGCCTACAAACCTTACCGTTCTATTGTAAACACATGGTTAGCGTGTAATTTGAAGACACACAGCGATGAAACATAACTTAAAGAGATATGTCATCGGGTTTATCGAGTCTACGGAACATATTTCCACTACTGGTAAGTCTGTCTTCACAATATGCGTGCCCAAGGAGAACCACGTTACTGCAAACTTCTTTTTTTTTTTCTCCACTCCTATAAAGCTCACGGCGTCAGGGTAAGAAGAGACCTCTGAAACGGACACCTCTGTTCGCTTCGTATAAAATACTTTTGAGCGTTTCTGATATTTGTGCTGTCCATCTTTAGCGTGGTCGACCTGTGGCTCTGTTACCGCTGTATCTGCATAACATTGCTCTCTGTTGTGCCCTGTCTAATGCCAGTCTTGTTACATAGCCAAACCATTTGATTTGCTGTCTAGCTTTAAAGTTCAGTATTAGTTCTGTGCCGACTCTCCTCCTGATTGCATCGTTCCTAGGACTATCTTTCCTTGTTATACCTACGTAAACATTTCATTGCTGTTATGAACATTTTCCTTCTGTCTTCTGAAGACAGTGTCCATGTTTGACACTGATAGCATAGCGTTGGTAAGAATAATGTGTTGAACAGTGTTCTTTTAGTGTTTATATTCTCATGCTTGCATTTCAAAAATGGTCCATTTGGCCATACGACTTGATTTGCTTTATCGCATCTTAGCTGAATTTCTTTACTGATTCGTTTTTTTCTTTTTTTCAAAACATGCTCCCTATATATGTAAATTCATTTGCCCGCTTCAGCTGGTGTTCATTATTATTGTTGCTATTGGTGGTTCTTTCTTTTCTAGAGAATGTCATCACTTCTGTTTTGTCTACATTGATCTTCAAATCGTAGATGTCACATTCTGACTGGAGTCTGTTAATATGTTTTTGTAGTTGTACAACTGTTGGTGCTATGATTGCCTGTTCATCAGTGAAAAGAAGTTCATAAAATAATTCTCCGATGTTGTCTTCTCTGCCGGTGCTAACGGATTTGCAAATCTGGTCGACGTATGTGATGAATAGTAGTGGTGATAGAACGCACCCCTGTCTCACTCCAGATTGAATGTAGTTTTAGTTAGACCCCTATTTCCAATAGCCTACATAAAGGACAGTGGTGAAGATCAACATGAAGTAGACAGCAGTAAAACAAAACTTTGTATTATCCTTGCGAAGCCAGTAATTAAATCTTGTAATTCACAAAGAACATGAACTCGGACTTGTAGAAGTGAAATGCAAAAAAACAAAAACAAAAAAACCACAGCATTCATTCATCGCCTGTGTGACACGAGATGCCTTGCCGTCTATTCCTCCATTCCCCTTCACCCTCTGCAAGCCGTTCAATACTATGGATGGAACCCAATCTAGCATCGTTAGTCTCTCTCATCAACGTTTGTTTTATTGGTTTCCTTAGAGCGTCCCCATGCCCTTAATCTCGTTATTCCCTATGTTAATTCTTGTTTGCTGATTCTCTGCAAAATAGCGCCATCTTCTTTGTCCTAAACTTTTGATACTAGTGGTTACTGTTGATACGACAATAGGAAGAGGCATATATATTTTGAGAAACACAAACACGTAAAAGGTTACTGGCTAACGTGCAGAGCTTTGACGTCCTAGCACCAGATTGTGTCCCGTATGACACGGTCTATCTTCAGAGAACGGCTAGCAGCCTGCGCAGTGCGTTTCACAAAGCAGCAATCTCCAACGTGTGGTGACGATCCCTAGGGTCTCCATAAAATCGGTGCTAGTGAATCTATTAATGTGGCCGTGAAACGAACCCATGACATTCATAGCGTAAGGGAAACAGCGTGAACACTTTGCCACGGAGACTCAGATATTCACGCTAGAACTTAGAGTGTTCAAATAGTATGGATACAACTTCAAATAGTATGGATTCAAAGCCCACTGAATATTTCAGAGCAACTGACAGTGAATAGGCAATTAAAGCAGGTTTGACACTGCGATTTCGGCAGTTAAAGGGATCGGTTGCAGAACATAAAAAAAAAAAAAAAAAGACATCGTATAAATCAGCTCTAGATCAATGCTGGGAAAACTGTGCCCAGTAAGTCCAATCTGGCCCGCCGAGAAATTTTTACTGGTCCGCTTGACTGGTTTAAAATAAATATTATAATGTATCCCTTGGTTCACAAAATAGTAGAATACAGAAATGCACGTTCATATGCAGAAATGGAAGGCGCGGGGGGGGGGGGGGGGGGGGGGGGGGTTGGAGAATCGATAGATCAATATCCAAAAATGGATAACCTAAAAAGTGCTAGCACACACACACACACACACACACACACACACATACACGCAACAATAACAACTGATGTCGCCAAATCTGTGATCTTGCTATTGAAACACGTGTTGCCGACACACCCATTCATTTGAAGAGTGTCAAAATATCTGTTTACGAGGACATGTAGTTGATATGTTTATAATGCATTTTTGTTTCTTTATGGCCGGTAATACTAAATTCTATGGACCAAAACAAAAGGAACATTGTTGAAAGAAATTGGGAAAAAAACCTTTAGTAAAAGTATTTTAGTGATATTAAAGATATAACAACCTGATAAAAACCATACAAGTTGGAGGAATTTAGAAAAAGGTACACAGTGATACACATGGGGAGTTAGCATCGAGAGATGGACGAGCAACGGAGCATATAATAAGAGAGGAACAAAGATCCATTACAGTCAACTGTGTTGTGAAGAAGACATCTGATTGAACTGAGAAATGTTTAATTTTTCCCCCCTTTTATGTCCATTTTAGAACGCCCACCCACACTGGTTGTTGCTTTGCCACATACAAAAGGAACTTTGAGAGACTTGGCAAGTACGACCCAGGCCTTGAGGTTTGGGGCTGTGAGAATTTGGAACTATCATTTAAGGTATTTATTTTCTTCTTCTTCTTCTTCTTCTTCTTCTTCTTCTTCTTCTTCTTCTTCTTCTTCTTCTTCTTCTTCTTCTTCTTCTTCTTCTTCTTCTTCTTCTTCTTCTTCTTCTTCTCCTCCTCCTTCTTCAGCATTCCGAGCCGTTGAGGTTTATTTGCTGCAGATATAATCCGCCTCCATTCTTCTCTCTCTGGTTGGCCTTCTTTTTACAGTTAGTGGCACTGGGTTTTTGCAGGCCTGCCTCGTTGTCTACGACCATTCAGCTCCTTTGTGTATACAGTTTTTACCTCTTTAACCACTCTGACATCCCTCGATATGCCCTCACCATTTCAGTCTATCAGCTCTTATGAATTTGGTTGTTGCTTCTAACGATCCATTCTCCGCAGTTGTCATCTGTAATGTGTCCAAAATTTTTAATGAGGCTTCAGCTATTTTAGTTGTGCTCCAAGTTTCAGAGCCATACACAACGACTGGTCTTTGGAACGTTTATATATATATATATATATATATATATATATATATATATATATATATATATATATATATATATATATATATATATATATATATATATATCAGTGTTGTGAGACAGGGACTTTGACTTTAGCAAACGTTGAATGGCGTTGTAATACTTTAATACTTTATCTCTAGACTGTATTCTAGATGGTATTTCTTGTCTCAGAATGTTGGAGCAGCTGAAATTTGCACCTAAGTACTTATATGTTTTCGTTCATATGATTTTCATATTATCGATTTTCATATTGCCGGAGTTTATATATTTTCCCTACCTTGTTATTACCATAACTTCTGTATTATCTAAGGTAGTAACCTGTCCCATTTTGTGAGTTGTTTCGTTTGAAAGTGTCCATGATTTAACAGTCTCTAGTTCACTTCACTTTCTCCAGTGTTATCTGCATAACCATGTATCCTTGAAGTTTCTCCTATATTATACTCTTGTTTCAACTTCCTTATATTTTAAGGTGTGTGAGTTTACGTTTTTATTTATGTAATCACAAACAAAAATCATAAATAAGGTTCACAACTGATAGAATTGATATTAATAGAATTTAAAAATTGACACGGTTAAAAAAACAGCTGAAAAGGTGGGGGGGGGGGAATGGGGGGGAGGGGGGTTCGGTCTGAGTATTGGAAGTAAGTACTGATGGTAATATCAAAGTAACAGACCCACCTAAAAAACAAGAACAAGAAATCTGTCACTGTTGTCTGTTTTACTACTTTTTAGGTCATGATGATCAATTTTGCCCCCGACAGAAAAACTCCATCGCTGAGTTAATTTCATTTAACGACTACAAGTAGGGTAGTTCAAACATACAGATCCGTGTATAAGATTAGACGGAGTAAAATGCATTACACTGTTTAAAAAAAAACAAAAAACAGTCAGTGGCTTTTCCTTAACAGGACGTTTGCAGAACCAACTCCAGCATTGTTCTAGCTGTTGTGGGGCTTTCTAGACACATTTTATGTTCAGCAGTTTGCTCTGAACGTTTTAGCTCTTGGTACCACTATCGAAACCAACACACGACGTTCTGCTTCCAAATCGCCCTAAGTTGGGATCGAACCCGGCACCACGGCATTACGAATCGCGTTCGTAACGTCTTGGCCACAGACGCCGACGCGTCACATAAAAGATTTTTAACAATCAAATATAAAAATAAGAAAATGACAAGCAAAATCATCCGTCGCTTTTGATTCCTCTTACTAAAGGTTAGGAAAACGCACGAAAGTTTGTTTTTTTGTGTATCCTTCCCAGGACGCTGCAGAACCAACTCCAGCAATTTTTTTGCCAGTCGTGACTGTTCAATGCAAATTAATCTTCAGTAGTTCCCATTGATTTTCAACGGTTGGCTTTAGATACCACTGTTGAAACCAACTCAAGACGGTCTGCTGCCAAATTGCCCGCAGCTAGGATCAAACACAGCTTCGCGGCATTACGACGCGCGTTTCCAACGCCTAAACCAGCCCTTTGGTTTTTATCAACAGTCGGTGAACGGCGAGAGATGTGGTTAAATTATGCCTGCCATCCTTTACTGTCCAGGACACTTTTTGGCATCCATTTTAGGCTGATTCAATATGGGAGGGAGCCCAGATCTGATGCAACATTTTATGCAATTTTCCAAAACTCACAGACAAGACTTTAGTTTAATGCACAACAATGTTACCACATATCCAACACGAATATCACCATTGTTTTTCCCTTGCAGAACAACATAAATAGGGCTTTTTCATCAATGACCAGCAATTTCACCTGAACTCAAGCCTTGTTTAAGCATATATCGAGCATACTTGACAGCCATGTCAAATCCACCTCTAAAATATGTTACAACCTGGGGGGAAAACGCACGCTAGGGAAAACAAATCTTTTATAAGTTATTTTATTTAAAGATGCACCTTTGTGAAACTGTAAATGAAGCTAAAATTTGGGACACGCGTTACTAGGCAGTGTGAATCATCTTATGACACTGCCTCCTTCCCCGTGCTCACCACTGTGAGTATCGCCTCGCTTATGTTTACAAAGTAAATTTCTTCACAACGCTTTCCATACAAAGACACTAACAAATGCGGATTGTCAGAATATATGGCTCCAGTCAGACACCAACTTACACGAGTTACTGAGCAAAATAGGAAAAGTGTATACATACAAGAGAGAGAGAGAGAGAGAGAGAGAGAGAGAGAGAGAGAGAGAGAGAGAGAGAGAGAGAGAGAGAGAGAGAGAGAGGGGGGGGGGTGGGGGTCCAAAGTGAACGTACCACCTGAACCAACAATCTCTGGCTGAACTGCAGAACCGAATCACAGCTGCAGTCAACTCAGTTACGCAAGAGATGCTTCTTAGTGTGTGGGATTAGTTCGGCTACTGTTTAGATGTTTGCCTAGCAGAAGACAGCAGCCATATTGAACATCTATAATCTCTGGTTTATATGAATAAGCTTTAGACATTCTTCTTCACCTCGGTCTATCTTTCTGTCTTTTTCTCCCCCCCCCTCTCTCTCTCTCCCTCTCTCTCTCTCTCTCTCTCTCTCTCTCTCTCTCTCTCTCTCTCTCTCTTGTATATATATTATTATTACGTAATGTGTTTATACACGGAAATATGCATAAATAAAAATGTATCTATCCTCTCCAATAATTATGCATTTATGTATGTATTTTGTTTGTGTGTATGTATTTATGTTTGTATGCGTGTATGTATGTGTGTATGTATGTATTATATATATATATATATATATATATATATATATATATATATATATATATATATATATATGTGTGTGTGTGTGTGTGTGTGTGTGTACGCATTGGTGTCACATAAATAAAGATATTTTTCCGTGGTCTGGGGACCAAATACACGTATATGTCTTTCCTGCAGGCCTGGATGTGCGGGGGGCGACTAGAGATTATCCCATGCTCCCATATCGGTCACATGTTCAGGCCAACATTTCCATACACATTTCCCGGGAAACCTTGGGCGATTGAGAGGAACTGTCTCCGTGTAGCTGAGGTGTGGATGGACCAATACAAAGTCTTTTACCAGCACAGACTGTCCCGCATACAGGTTAGTTTTATACTTATGCTATTAATTACGAACTGAACTCTTTTTTGCAACAGTCTCTGAAAGTAGAAATATTGTATTCTATGGCATGATGAACTAAATGTTAGACTAAAGTTTTTGCTGTTGCTACGAAACCCCACTGGCCCCTTTTGTCGTCCCCAAATACGTCAATCCCGAACGACAATTGAAAGTTGCAGCTAGAAATAATTCATCAGTCGAGGGAGAAGTCCTCTGCCTACTCCTTATCCTCTGCCTACTCCTTAAAAAAATCATTTCCTAAGCACTTTGAGTTGCCTTCTTTCTCTCGTCCCAACATAAGTGGCCCCCGGGAAGAGGGTGGGGGGGGGGGGGGTTCACAAGGAGCGTCACTCGTGAGGTTTAACACCCCAGTTTCAAAATTATTGATAATTTACTTCAAGAATGTTTACTTCAAATGCTTCACATAACAAACTCTTGTTATTCTACCTCAGAATGATATACATATTGGTGACGTCAGTGAGATGAAAGCTCTCAGAGAAAAGCTCAAATGTCGATCGTTCGACTGGTATGTTAAAGAGATTTACCCTGATGTCGACATCCCTATCAACACAACAGCCATAGGCAGAGTGAGTCTAAAATTTAATTCCTTTTTTAAGTCAGTAAATGGGCTGTTTTCTCATAGGTTTATACATTCGCCGTGCTTAAATTGATCTACCAAGACTTAGTGAGGTAAATAATCATTATATTGACTAGGGCTGTACCGAACAGTGATTTTTACTATTCGGCGGAATACGAATATATAGACCAACTATTCGACCGAATACGAATACGAATAGTGAATCATCATCATCAGGTGCTTTGCCGACTGGCATGGGTAATTATCTCTCGCCACAATCTGCGATCTCCTGCAGCATGTATTAGTTCATGTGCCGACACACATCCATGGCATGCAACACGACTGTCAAGAATCTTCTCTCTCGTTGTCTTCCTCTATCCCTCCTTCCACATACCTTTCCAGTGGTCACCACATGTTTCATTTTCCCTCATCTTATAACATGGCCGAAAAATGATGACTGTCTCCTTCTGATGTCTGTGAGTAGTTGTCTTCGGGCTCCCGCCTTTTTCAAAACCTCTTGGTTGCTTTTTCTTTTTTTTTACTTGGGAGATGGGGGGGGGGGGGGGGGGGAGGGGTTCCAAAGTATTCTAAACATTCTTCTGTAAAACCACATCTCTGAGGCCTGCCTACCGATTGCCCAGGACTCATAGCCATATCTTAAAACTGGATGTATGTAACAAGCAAGCATTTTTTTGCTAACCTTCAATGACAAAGATATATTGCATAAGATGTTCATCATTTTATAAAATGCAGTTTTTACCTGTTCTATTCTGTTTCTTATTTAATACATCTTCCATCTGATGTTATCCATGTGCCCAGATTATTAAATTTCTGTACTTGTCCCAAAATAAAACCACTGACTGTAATACATTTAAGAATAATTATTTTCTTTGATGCTACCATTACTTCTGTGTTCCCAATATTCAAACCGCGCCCATTCTTCCACTTTCGAATAGTGTATAAAATAGATCTAAAAAAAAAAAAATATCCATAATGTCAAATGTACGCTGACATTTTACTTCACAAAATGTAGTACTGAATAGTAAACATTTAAAAACATGTCATGTTTTGCATCCTTCAGTAAGTCAGTCTGTGGTAACTAATACCTTGGAATGAAAGTATTCTTAGTTTTATAGCAAGTAACTAAACTTGTACATTGTCACTGACAGCTTTGTTAATCCATGAAAGCAGCATTAGCTTCTTCACCTTCGATGTGTTCATGTTCCATCAGTCTAGAAACGGATGTAAGGTAACCACTGTTCGTATTCGGCCCGACCGCAACTATTCGGCCGAATACCGAATAGCTATTAGGTCCACTATTCGGCCACGTAGCGAAAACGAAGCGAATATTCAGTACAGCCCAAATATTGACAAACCAATTCCCTTGCTGCTTTCTAAAAAAATCCAGAGCTACAGCTACCTCTGTTTTTCTTCAAATGTAATACTTTATGATCTTATCGCGTCTTTTTATGTTTAGAACCCTTTGCAGGAGTCTCATTGCAGTTGCTGTAAGTTTAATTTGTTTCCCATTTCTCGTTAAATGAATGAGAAATAAAATCTATATTTGATGTCACTGTGCTTCAGGCATTCCTACACGTGCTCCATGGCTTGGTAGCTACGAAGAATTCCCATATTGTTGGCCTCAGTTGCATCTTGATAAGATATCAGCCTGTCCTTCTTCTCTCTCGTTGAACACACACTTTGTAAACTCCTCTTTTAATCAGTCATTCGAAGAATGAATACTCAGTGAGTAATGTCCATATTATTATACCTTTATTCACTTCTTATATTTCACGGACCCTTCTAAGCTAAAACTTTTAGACGTAACTGTGCCTGGAAAAAAAAAACCACACAACAGCTAGAGCTGTTAGAGTTGGTTCTGCGACGTATTGTAAAGGATACACAACTAACCTAACCTTCTAAGTTGATCCAGTTGGAAAGCCAAATCAACTTATTTTCAATATGTTCGCCCGAATATACAAATCTGAGGTTTCAAAACTGTGAACCTACCTTCCCAGCTCACAAGTCAAAGATCGCTGTACTTTATTTGAAGTTCTATAATCACTCTAACCATCGTCGATTCGCTTTTTTGCATACATTTTTGTTTTTAAATTTATATACGAGTATCTCGAACTCTCTTCAAAATACAGTGGTACCTCCTATACCCGCTTAATCCGTTCCAGATTCTTGAACTTATACCTCACAAGACGCATGACAAACGAATGTTCTATTAGAAATAAAGGGACAGTGATTAATCAGTTTCCAAGAACTAAATACAAGTGGTATTGGCATATTGTATATTTATATGGTTGTACACGGTAATTCAAACACTGTTTAATACTACAATAGGTAAATGGAAAGGCATTTTTATGAAATAAATTCAAATGTAACCACACTTTATCTTACTGAGAAGAGTGCCTTCTAGGGGGGGCTGCGTGGATCGATGTATCGTGTCCGCCTAGAGTGCTAGACGTCCCTGGTTCAAGCCCCGATGAAGGCTGGGATTTTTTCTGTTCATGTGGACTTCTAGTAATATCCCCTTTTCTCTGGGTAGTGAAATCAGACGCCCGTGTGTGTTGTTGAGCCCTTATAAAATCTCTTGGCAGTTGGAAATTGAAAAGAGTAGCCTAACGGGGCTGACAAGGCAAAATTTGAAGAAAAAAAATATGCTCAAATTTATTTCAGGATCCTCAGCAGTGCTACGGAGCTCATGCACTGCGCTGAGCTACTTCGGCCTCAGAGTTGAGTTAGAAGAAGAACGGAGCACTTATGGGTTACTACCCGTGTGCCATGATGTTAATCCGATGTTTAAACCTCACACTTCAGACCCACTAGGACGCTGCTGAGAGGGTAGGAGGAGATTTTACTGTTTGGAAAGAGATCACTCTTCCAATAGTTTCAAGAACATGGTTGAGGCTCTCCAGGTGTGAAGTTTACTAAAAAAAAATGTGTCCAAACAAGTTTGCTTCTGCCTTCTTTTTAGGTTGTTTCAGAAACGAGACATTGTCTAGTCACTTCAGACAATGCTGTTACGGATTCTTTAGGCTTTGCTCGGTTGTCACTTCTATTCGTTTTTGTTTTTTTAACATCATCCAATTTGTCTCTTAGCACACAAGTCATATTCCAAACAAAGGTCGTTTACCAGGCAAGCGTTGTCTAGTCTAAAGAGAACGTACGCCAAGCTGGATGTATTGCTCAGCAGACGTATAGCGAGGTAACAGTGCCTTGCAATTCGCATAATAATTAATATGATCAGGAATGTAAAGAGAGGAAATCAGTCATAATGGTACACAAAGAGCTAGGATAATGGTCATCTTGCATAATAACAAGATGGATAATGATGATAGTGATTTTGGTAATAGATAGTATATATTTGCATACCATAATGAACAAGTGTAAACAATCATATCTGGCTTGGGGGGGGGGGGGGGGGGGGGTCAAGTGTTTCCTATTTCTCTTTATCAATTTTCAAAATACCAAAAACAGGAAGGCAATAAAAAACTTGAATCAACAAGAAATACATGACTTTTACTTGTTTACTAAGTAAAAATACCCTTTTCCACGATTTTGTGCGTCATAGGCATATAGGGCTAGACCTTTATTTTTATAGACCATCGGCACTTTGTGAGTGATGTGGTCAGCATGACGCCGACTGTGTACAAATATTGTGTTATATCTTGCAGTTTATCATCATCAACATCGTTTATCTAAGCCATAAACATTGGATGCATTTTCCCATACTGCACGGTCACCATAATTACGGATCAGGTCGCTGCTCTGTTCTCGCTCCATGCATATGGCAAAACAATCAGTTTGTGTGTGTGTGTGCGTGTGTATTGTTATCTATTTACTTTCCCTACTCTCTTTCCTTCAATGTTGTCACTCGTTACTGAGTACACCAGTCCAATAAGTCCACTTCTTCTCACAACAGGCCAAAAATATTGTTTGTCTACTTCTTACATGTCTAAACAATTTACGGATTATCCTTGCAGATCAATAATGTTCAAAACCCGAATCGGTGTATTGAAGCAGAATTCAATGTGTTCATCACTGAATGCTATCCTGCTAAACAAGAGCAGGTAATTATGTTGTTTCAAGTGATATCATCGCCGACATTTCTTTAAGTATGTTGTGTTAAGTGGACATGTGTTTGGTGGTATAACAGGATGCATAGTTTCTTATGAACATCATCGTCGTCAAGTAGCAGGTTCGTTGCGCAGCGTTGATCTCATCATGACACGCCGGAAAGACATTTGATCCGTTGCCACTTTTCTCATCTCATGAAATTTCACGTTCATGATGTCCAACGTTCTGCTGGTCGACGCCTGCTTCCTCTTCCTATAATCAAAACCCCCTTCACTGTTTTCTCTCCAAGCCATTCTTATATTTATCGTATACCCTTAGTGTTTCTGGTTACTGGGTATAATCATTTGCAGGGATCAAGTGGAGGCAGTTGCGGTGAAATAACCGAGCGGACTCAATGCTGTCAAGATTATGGCAGTGACGGTCATAGAAAAAAGAATGTTGTTCACAATGTTTCAGCGTGAGATTCTGTCAGTAATAGATTATGGACGTGTAAAGGTTATCATATCAAAGAGTCAGCTGAACGTGGGCGGAATGAAGCCACGCGGGTAATTTTTGGATATACAAGACATACCCCGTAGAGCACATGGTCACAGGCAAAAATAGATAGGTCTTTGATGGTGCAAGCTGAAGACACAATAAGGCATGTGTGGACGCTGGATACATTTGTCCGAGGAGATGAGTGGGTTAAAGTGTCTGTGCAAGAATCAGACTGGTATAGGGTTATAATCAAATTAGGTGGTAAGTGCAGGGATTAGACAGCTGGTGCTGAAGAGTCAGAAGTTCAACAAATAATTCATGACATCGCCCGCCCAGGTGATGTGATAATCTATACAGATGGCTATGCATTGAGAAACAAACGAAAAGCACAGAGGTACATCGCAAAAACAACACAAACACACACATACATACACACACGTGTTAGCTTTAGCGCAGTCGATAAGAGGCTCGCTTTCAAATCCAGCTGCGACTCGCGGCAGCCCACCGTCGGTGTTCGAAACCGGGCGGTTCACCCAGCCTCTAGGAAATGGGTACCAGTGTTGACACTCTGGGGTAAATGGAGGAACATCGCTGTAACTACAGAGATACGGACGAACAGCGACACAATCGGACAATTCTTATCAGCGGTCCGTACTGGTGGCAGAGAACTTCTGGCTTGTAACCGTGTGCAATGACGCTGATTCACATCTCCTGACTTTACTTTTACCTTTTTTTTTTTACACACACAAACCACACAATGGGCATCGCTTAGTGCAACATAGCCTGGCATATGATATCACATCGTCTAGTTGGAATCGGGAGGTGGGGGCAGTCACTGCTGCCTTCCGCTAGCTCAAAATTCGTCTGTACACGCATGTCGTAATTCTAAGTTACTCACAGAGTATGCTGAGAAAGTTGGAGACAGGCAAGCTGTTTGCAGAATGGCAAGCATCGCTTCAGATATACCTGGTTGTTACAGTCCTTTGGATATTTTCTCTAGGTCATGCTGGTGTTGTGAAACGAGTATGCAGATAAACTGGCCGGTTCTGCACCAGTTTGTAGCGAACTGATATATATGACAAGCTAGAGGTTGTGAGGGTCCTTTAAGAGCTAGTGAACAGTGCGGACGCACAAACAGATCATTGCGGTCTGAGGTGAATAGCTCAGCGACGTGTTGCCAGGAAATCTAGCCGACACTCAACACTCAAGGGAAAGGCGAGACAGCTATACAATTAGACAGCTACTTATGCCATCGGAATTGGAACTATTCGCTTGCTGCTGAAAATAGTGACAGAGTGTTTATGGAAGTGTCCGGAGTGCTCTGATGTCGATTCAACTTTCAATATACGTCAGTGTTTCAGCTTCCAAAAAGGGCACAGTCTGTGAGTCGGCCCTTTTTCATATTCAGATTCTTAAGACTCATCTTTTCATACAGTTGCATTCTTGTCCATGTCTACGTCTCAGAACATGGCAGCCTGTTGGTTATGTGTCCTAACTGAGTAGGCAGATGTATGTGTATGGTGTACATATGATGAGTGATACAAACAGTTGTTTAGAGATTTGTTTAGGTAGATCAGCAGAAGACAAGATTGCCATCGGACAAAAGAAAAAAGAGCCAGCCCAGTGACACATACAATTGCGCCCATGGGCTGTTGTTGTTTGTGGTCTGCTATTTGCATTGATGTCTCTCGTCACCTCGCTTTACGCGTGTCTTTAATATTTTTGTGAGCATTTTTTTACTGTTATCGTCTTGACGCAGTGGGTACCACACCTTTTACTAAAAGATGTTATAGAGATATGCTCTTTGTTTTCCAAGTGTTTAAATTGCATATTGCCCTGGCGGGTTTGCTACTATTGATTGAGTTTTAACCCCACCAAGACATCACACTGATCGATAAACACCTGTTGGCACCAAGTGCCACCATTCGGATGTTGATCACTAGTGGGGAGATCCTAGTAACCTTTTTCAACCCATAGGTTTGGTTATATAAAATGCATCAACATTGAAAAAAATTATCTTCTGATACGACAATAAAGATTTCTTAATACTGCTAAATCAGAATGACCTTGAGAGAGTAGAGTAATTATTATAATAGGTGCGTAATTAGCTGTTAGAATGTGAAGCATACGAAGAGGAGATTGTAGCACATCTGGAGCAACGCATAGTTCTGTGAGGGTTGCCGTCACTTACTTCCGTCAGTTAAGTGATACCTGTCTATATCAACAGCTTAACACATCGGTCAGACCGTCTCGTGCTCCATCCTTCAAAGCAGCAGCCATCTCAGCGTCTCTCTGCTTCCCCAGCTGGTTGGCATGGCTTTCTTTACCTGCAGCCGGATTATGTACGCTTGCTTCGTTTAATAACCATTTAAAACACGCGGTTTATGTTCTATGGCTTTTCCATCCCAACTTCTCTTGAACGCAGCAGATTCAGTATGTATGGTCAGGACATACTTCTTCCTTCACTAACTACGGAAGACACGAGCAGTATGTATGTCTGTCCTTTTATTTCCTTTTGCTCCAGCGTGTCCTAGTATGTAAAGCCAATAATGTTTCTTGATGGGGAACTCCTTGATGTTCTCAACCCTTTATAGTTGGAGTATGCCGGTTTGGATATCCTGAAGGATGTTCATTTAGTCTGTCACTATCAATGCGTGAGTTGCTTTCTGTTCTGCCAGTTACGCAAGTCACCTTGCGACAGCTGCTGTCTCAAGTTATGCTAGAACGAGTTAATGCTAGAATTTCTTCTTCAAATGTTTTCTCATTCACCTGCACTGTTTACACCTACCTAAACAACACGCCGCGAATCATTGAACCATGTGCATAGACGATGACCTCTAATAGCCGAATGTGCTAGTGTATAATTAAAATTAAATTGAGTAACTGTGAGTGTTTTGCGCCATTCCCTGCAATGCCTGTCCAGGACGATTATTACCTCAATGTGCTCTTCCATTCTTTCTGTTGTTCCTAACTTTCATCATTTGACCTGTTCCACTGAGCAAAATTGGTAAACAATGTTTTCGGTTGAGGTAATTAAGGACTGACCCTTCTTCAGCGAAGGTGAACAAAAGGTAAATCGTTCTAAAATAAATGCCTCAAGACAATATTAAATGAGATGAACTCGAGAAAGGTGAAGAAAGGATAGAAATGTGCCGACAACAACTGCTATTGACAGATATAAACCAAAAAAGATAGTGCCACACTGGGCACATCCTTATCAAAGGCGTGTTGGGAATCAGCAATCATGCACTAACATACCAGCAATCATGCACTAACATACCAGCAATCATGCACTAACATACCAACAATCATGCACTAACATACCAACAATCATGCACTAACATACCAGCAATCATGCACTAACATACCCAACAATCATCCACTAACATACCAGCAATCATGCACTAACATACCAGCAATCATGCACTAACATACCAACAATCATGCACTAACATACCAACAATCATGCACTAACATACCAACAATCATGCACTAACATACCAACAATCATGCACTAACATACCAGCAATCATGCACTAACATACCAGCAATCATGCACTAACATACCAACAATCATGCACTAACATACCAGCAGTCATGCACTAACATACCAGCAATCATGCACTAACATACCAACAATCATGCACTAACATACCAGCAATCATGCACTAACATACCAGCAATCATGCACTAACATACCAACAATCATGCACTAACATACCAACAATCATGCATTAACATATTCGACAGAGGAAACCAGGACGCCCAAGAGAAATCTTGAAATAAACATCGATAAGAGAAGCCAAAGATACTCGACTGTATTTCATTCATGAAATGAAAAGGTTGCATGAAAATAACGGAAGGGGGGAATCGACTACAAGCCCTCTGTGACATACACCAGGGCACTAACATGAAATGTCTAAACCGTCCTTTATAAACGGGTGCATTATCTCAAAAGAAAAGGATAAATAAATAACAGTGATGTACTAATTTAGTTTGCCGAGCAGATGTTTCTGTAGCAATCAAACAGGAAACCATTGACTACAAAAATGAGAATGGCTAAAAAAAAACCAAGGGCGAATGTGGATGAGAAAGGCCAAATGTTTAGGGCTGGATTACATCCATCATAATCGTTCAATTTCACAGGATAGAAGTGAATATGCGAGATTTTACGTGAAGTATACAACGCACAAAATAATCATATTATCGGATGATTAATGTGTGACAGAGATTAAAAGTAGAATAGATCAAGCAAAAAATGCATTTCAGAAAATGAAAAATATCATATGCAATAAATAGCTCTCATTTAATGTCAGAAAGAGGGTGCTAAAATGTTGCATAGAACCTGCTCTGCTGTATTGCAGCAAATCTTGGAATGTCAGTGAACAAATTAAGAAGAATTTGGAAGCAACAGAGATGTGGTTTCTGAGACGAATTTTACGAATACCTTAGGCGGCCAAAGTAACTAACATGGACTGTTTGAAAGAAGCTAATGAAAGTATATCTCTATATGCAACAATAAGAAAGAGCGAAACACTGTTCTTTGGTCACGTAATAAGAAGAGAGACATTGGAAAACATTATGACAACTGGAAATATCAGTAGAAAAAGGGGTAGAGGCAGACCAAGAGAGATGATGCTGGATGGGATGAAACGATGGTATGGAGGGATATCATCAAGAGAGCTGTTCCAGGCAACCGGGGATTGTGATCTGTGATGTGATGAGCGCCTTCGCCAGTTGGCAGGGCACATGATGACGATTACGCACAACTGAATAATGATGTGACAAAGATGAAAACGATGAGGATTACGATAATAAATCAACGCCACTGGTGACGTTGGTTAATTTTGGTTAGCCCCCTGGTTTAGCGAAAGACAAACGTAAGCTAAGAAAAGATTTTGACGCCTATGAGGCATCAGACATTATTGTATAAAGCTTTAAAATTAAACGAAAAGCAGACCAGCGAGCTCTAACATAAATGTTAAGAATTCAAACGGGCAGTGAACATTGCGGCGAAACAGACTTCATCAGCACATTACATAAATCAACCGAACCTCACATACGGACACGAATACACAAAATCACTTAACTGACGTATTCCCGATAACAGCCACTGCGATGTCAGGGTAGTGTAATAAAGGACAGTGTTATAATCATTTGACACTATACAAATTATATGGACAACATCAAGCCGGGCGCCTTTATTTTCCATGACATTTATGGCATACATTGTAGGCTAGATCCTTGTCAATAAATATAAATTACTCGTAGTAATTGGATCCGGATCACACAGTTGTTGTTTTGTGTGTGTATGATTGCGACTCTATGTATGTATGTGTGTGTTTGCGTACTTAATAAAAATAATGACTAAGTGTATAAACTGTTATGACCTCGAGTTTACACTAAATTTTATCATTCACAAAAGTTAGGTTATATCTTCACGATGATTTGTTTTAACAATAAGATCAAGTTGTTTTTTCTGCTAGTACTTCTACTTAACAAGAGAGAAGCAGATACGTCGTGACGGCTTCTGCCTATCGTACAAACATAGTACCGGCTCTTTTGAATTTCGTGTATGCAACAACCATGTTGCGAAATGGAAATACTCTCAGGTAATTCATCTAAAGCTAATTTAAATTCTTCTTCTTTTATTCACAGGATGTAAGCTCTGATGGGAAGTGCTTGTTGTTCGTCCATTTAGACTTTGACTTTGAGGCAGGGATTGAGTTGTGTGTGTACATTTGACTGGCTTTTTTGTGTGTAGAGTTGATTGTTCCTTGCCGCTCGGAAGGATGCACTTTGACTTCGAAGGAAGCCCCAGCTAGTCGATAACGAGGAAGTGGGTCTATTCCTGTTTTCCCCCATAATGGGGACCCGGAACCGACACGGGAAAGTAAAAGTATATTGCTGACATGTCTTGGCTAGGTTATGAACACAATTCAATTATCTCGACATACCAGGTTTGAGTCAGCTGCAGGCGATTTGGTAGCAGACCGCTATGGGGTAATTTCGTCAAAGACAAGCAAGTCGTATGGTTCAGCAAACAATTGTACACCTATTCTTCTTATAGTCCTTCTTGAGGGGCGTTGGTAGTTACTCTGACCACATCCTTCTATAGAGTGTACTTTCAACCATTTCTGACACAGATGCTTTTTTCCATTACGATGAAGTGGGACTGTCAAAAAATTGTCTCTCTCTGTCTCTCTCTATCTCTTTCCCCCTCCAGCTGCCCCACCGTCACAATGTACTCCAGTTTTCTCCATCTCATGACATGATCACAGAATGCAGATTGCCTCCTTCGGATGTGGACAGTCAGATCTCTTGGTAAGTCAGTTTCTTTCCTGAAGTCTTCATTACTCATTTTATCTGTCCAGAGTATTCTCATCCTTTGTCTATGTAACAACATCCCTACCGATAAGACATTATTTTTCTCACTAATCGGCAAAATTTTCATAGTACGTTAACGTATATCAGGGTACGATTTATATAGCACTTGAGAATAATCCTTTTCACTTCAGGTGACAAAAAAACGATTGCAATGTAGATTTTACATTTTGTGAAATGCTGTCATTGCTTCACTACATGAAAAAGAAGTCCAATTAACAGTTTAAATAGTAGTTAAATTTATTTTGTTAATCAATAATGTCTTCTTCTTCTTCTTCTTCTTCTTCTTCTTCTTTTTCTTCTTCTTCTTCTTCTTCTTCTTCTTCTTCTTCTTCTTCTTCTTCTTCTTCTTCTTCTTCTTCTTCTTCTTCTTCTTCTTCTTCTTCTTCTTCTTCTTCTTCTTCTTCTTCTTCTTCTTCTTCTTCTTTTTTCCCCTCCTCCTCCTGCATCTTCTTTTCCTGCTTCTTCTTCTTTATTTACTTCTTCTCCCTTTTCATTTTCTTCTTCTCCCACTCCAGCATATTCTGCTTCTTCTTCTTCTCCTTCTCCTTCTCCTTCTCCTTCTTCTTCTTCTTCTTCTTCTTCTTCTTCTTCTTCTTCTTCTTCTTCTTCTTCTTCTTCTTCTTCTTCTTCTTCTTCTTCTTCTTCTTCTTCTTCTTCTTCTTCTTCTTCTTCTTCTTCTTCTTCTTCTTCTTCTTCTTCTTCTTCTTCTTCTTCTTCTTCTTCTTCTTCTTCTTCTTCTTCTTCTTCTTCTTCTATTCAGTTTTTCCCTTCCTCCACTTTTGCTTTCTTATTTCGTCTGTCATCAGTTTGTGTGCAGATGTAGATATAAGGTTCTGCTACCTGCTCTTCTGGTCGTCACGACCATGGGCACATTGTACTGTCGTCAAAATTCTATGATTTTAGTTTTCCATTTTTTCTTGGTCAACCCCTTGCTCAGTGCCCCTCTCTTCTTTGGAGTATGCCTGGTGTGGTAAATCGTTGTTAAACATTTTATTTGTTGACTTTGTAAACAAGTGAGAACTGGTTCTATGCCAACTGTATCTCGTATGAGTTCATTTGTCTTCATCACTGCAGCCGTGCTCAGACATCTCCTTTCCATGGTTACTAGTTTTCTTTTGATTTATTTTTCTTTTACGACAAAAAAGGTGGGGGGGGGGGGGGCACGAGACATTCTCAGTCAACACAAACTTCTAATTTAAAAAATATTCACCCTCGGTCTATACAGTCAGTGACGGACATGGTCACTTACAACAAAACAGAAAAGTAAAAGGTAACACATATTGTCTGAGAAAGGCGACTAAAAGAGAAACAGTCAGGAATTAAGTCATAAGCGAAAAAAAATCGACACAGATCAAAAGAGACAGCCAAAAAAAAAAAAATTTTTTTTGCAGACTAAGAGAAAATACTTTGCGATTCCATACCATACAAGGTATACACTAAACTAGGACAGGGACAAAAAGCACGAGGTAGGCCAAGAACAAGGTGTAAGATAACATCGAAGAAATTCTACCAAAATACGATGTAGTTATTGTCGAGGAACAGATGCAAACAAATGTTCGTTCTTTACTGGGTACCTACGGGTATATTTCAGTCAGTGTTTCACAAGTCTGTTTTCACATTTTCGTTCTTTACTGGGTACCTACGGGTATATTTTAGTCAGTGTTTCACAAGTCTGTTTACACATTTTCGTTATATCGAAAGACATTTGGAAAACAGAGTGCTCCTAATAATATTCCTTTCGTTTAATTCGATATATGAGTTGTATTGTATAATAGTTACGGAACGCTCTCGACCAGCAGCCAGCCGATGTAGGGACCGAAGCTTAGCTATTTGATCTACAAACCCAGTGATATCAAGTCGGACCTTTCCACTTTAGACTTTAACCTTTATAATACTGAAATAAACCATTTGACAATTTTTTTAAAAAATTTAATTCAACTCAGGAAAACCTGATCAACTTGGAAGGGACTGATCTGTGTATGGCCCTATCAAGCAACAAGTCATCAGTTGTCATGGTTACATGTAACAGTTCGGACACAAGTCAACAGTGGAACTGGCCTCGCGAGAGTATTGCTTTTGCATAGCTTGAAATGATAAGGTTGTGAGTGTATCTTTCTTTTCTTAGAGTTCACCGACTGGAAACACCAACAAAACGTCCTGGTGGTGTGTCCACTTATGGATTTAGTAAAGACTTTTTCTTGTCTTGTGGCGTTGAAAATCATGGCTCTCCGCGTACTTCTGGAGCATCACCTGTCCATTTTTTTTTGTAACATCCCTGAGACCTCATGTGGCGTGAGAAGAGGGGGAGGGGAGGAACAAGAACAGGTTTAATAGCTCTACAATAAGCATGTCATAAGAGATGACTAATTGGGGACTTCCTTTGAAGCCGAAGTGTACCTGCCCGAGAGGAACCAAGAGTCTGCATACAAATGTGACAGATCTCAAAAACGGATGTGCAAGCAACATTGAGGCTGTGTCACAAGACTAGAGTCCACATGTGGACGAACAGCCAAAACTTTCAGCGGGAGTTTTACAACCCGTGAACGCCAAGAAGAAACAGATTTCTGCAATGATTGTTCCAGTTGATTATGGGAACAAGTCAAACCCTGCTTTCTTGAAGACACTCTGCCATGCTAGCACTCAACTCTTTCCGACGATACAAGGTACTAAGATCTCAAGGTACAAGGTACTAACATCTCAAGGTACAAGGTACTAACATCTCAAGGTACAAGGTACTAACATCTCAAGGTACAAGGTACTAACATCTCTTAGAAACAAGCTGTATTGCAAGACATCTTCATTATGCCTTCAATATGTCCGTTGTCTCCTCCCCGTGATTCTATTATTCCTCATCTGAGCATTTTCTGCTTAATGTGTATGTGTTTGTAAATATATATGTGTATATATATATATATATATATATATATATATATATATATATATATATATATATATATATATATATATTGGTGTGTGTTTTAATGAAGAGGACATATTTTGCCTTTTTATTAAATTTTGTAAACACTTCTCTGTCGATTCTCGCCTTCTGGACTCTGCATTTGGTTACCTTGGAATAATAATATTCACACATGCACAGTCCGTGGCGACAGCACTAGCCATGCGGCCGTAAAACCTCAAGCTCAAAGACCCCGCTACCGACGCCGCAAGAGTGGTTTACTAAAGGCAGTAATATGCAGTTTTTAATTTGGCAGTAACCATGGGATATATGATTTTTGTCCCTATATTAAAACATCAGTGTCTCAACTGGACGTCATAATTATTTTGTTCATTGTCCATGTTTGTGAGCAAGTACATTTGAATAGATATTATACTTGGCAATTACCAGTGTAATGTAGTTTTTATCTTTCTGCGTCTGCGTTTTTTTTTTTTTTTTTATATATATACTGACAATATTCATAATCCCCCAACCAAAATTTTTTTTGTCTGTATGTGAGATTAAAAAAAAAAATGCTAGTTAACTCTTTCGCTGACTGAGATTTTACTTGACCATTCAGCATTTTTAGTCACCGTCGCCGACGGGCTAGACGCTCGCCGCGGACCGGAAGGTCGTGAGTTCGTTCCCTGGAGAAGCCGGACTTTTTTCAAAAATGACCTTGGCTCCCAGGTCGACCCAGCCTTGAGTCGGTACCGGGTGCAGTCCCGGGAAAGTAAAGGCGGCCGGCGTGATGCTGACCACATCACCCATCTTGTGCCGATTGGTCTATAAAAATATGGGTCTACCCTACATGCACTATACGCCTAAAGGCGTGGAAAGGGTCCTTTACTTACTTTACTTACTAATTCAGCATTTTGCATTGTCCAAACACCACTGATGCTTATACCTCTTTGGAGCCCGACTCGCTAGCGCAATTGGCTAAACCGGACTGCGCGGCGACCGGGTGACGAACTGTTTGTGATCCGGGGGTAGGCAGAAAAGCTACATTTATCCAAGATTTACGGTATCTATCACGGAATCAAGACCATAGGGTTGCTATATCCATAGTAACGAGCCAAAGTGTTGTACAGTTGAGTTTATTCTTCTTTGCTTATTCCGTAACGGGTGGTAGAGAGGAGTCAGATATTTCCTGTCTTCTGCTATAGTAAAGTTTGTTTTAATGTTATATTGTGTTTCTGTAGTTTTTTTTTTTTTTTTTTTACTTTCTTATCCACAATTTTCTGGGTCCGCCTCTTGATTTGTAGCCTGCTGTTTTCGTGTAGTACGCTCCAGCTGCTGACTGATATGTTCGATTCTGACCAGATGACCAATCAACTTGATCCTATGAAGTTCTGTGAAATCACTGACTGGTACTGTCGCTACCATCTGTGATAGTTCTTCTACGGTAATTCTGTCTACTCTTGTTTTTCCTACCGTATTTTGTGTGTGTGTGGATCCATCTCATCTCACATGTCAAACAAAACCTACGGCTGGCTGTGTGGATCCATCTCATCTCACACGTCAAACGAAACCTAATGTTGGCTGTGTGGATCCATCTCATCGCACACGTCAAACGAAACCTAATGTTGGCTGTGTGGATCCATCTCATCTCACACGTCAAACGAAACCTAATGTTGGCTGTGTGGATCCATCTCATCGCACACGTCAAACGAAACGCACTGCTGGCTGTGTGTATTTTGATCATGGTATAGAACGTCGCAGGTCGACCCAGCCTTAAATGGTTACCAGGATATATGACCTAGGGAAGTAAAGGCTTACATTACCCACCTAGTGCTGATTGGTAGGTAAAATATTGGTGCTCAACCCATATGTCCGCCGATGCGCCTAAAGGTGTGAAAAGGGATGTTTACTTAACATCTCTCGTCTGGTAATTTTGGGTTAATGTTTTTTTACTGTCCGTGTCTGACATTGGTAACCGGGATTTGGTACTGGTAGTGAATCAATGAGTTAAGTTACATTATCTCAACTGACGTTATTGCATATATAGAATTCAACGGCGTATCCCGACCTCAAACGCTGCAGTCATTGCAAAGTATCTCTACTGATTGTTTCTACGATAAGCTGGTTATAACATGTTTAGACCTAGAGGAGGAAATAAAGGTGCTTAATTAAGCTTTACACCTGTCTCCCAGTTGAACATACTTTACACCTGGCTCCCAGTTGAGCAAACTTTACACCTGGCTCCCAGTTGAGCAAACTTGACACCTGTCTCCCAGTTGAGCAAACTTTACACCTGGCTCCCAGTTGAGCAAACTTGACACCTGTCTCCCAGTTGAGCGAAATTACACCTGTCTCCCAGTTGAGCCAACTTTTCACCTGTCTCCCAGTTAAGCAAACTTTTCACCTGTCTCCCAGTTAAGTAAGCTGTACACCTGTCTCCCAGTTGAGTTAGCTTTACACGTTTTTCCCAATTGATTTAGCTTTACATCTGTCTGCCAGTTGAGTTAGCTTTACACCTGTCTCCCAGTTGTGTTAGCTTTACACCTGTCTCCCAGTTGATTTAGCTTTACACCTGTCTCCCAGTTGAGTTAGCTTTATATCTGTCTCCCAGTTGAGTTAGCGTCAAAGACTCTTACCCACCAGTCTAATTCTTATATTACTATTATATCAACTGTGTCAATATTTCTTCACTCATGTCATAATGTATTTCTAATGTAATGCTCTCTCATATATTAGTTTATTACTCAAGCTCGCCGTGTGAGTTCCGGGATCATTTTATAAGGGGGAAAAAGAATAGACCCAAAAGCATGTCGTAAGAGTCGACAAACTGGGAGCTTCATTCGAAGAAGGAGTGCATCTGCCTGGGAGGCAAGGAACCAGCAGTCTGCATACAAATAAGTCAGCTTCATTAAACGGATGCGTAACCTTGAAATACATGGATGTATACTAGTTAGGTGTCTACATTACGTCAAAGCAATAACCCTCCATGCAAGCAGTCATGGTCAGAGTGTCGTCTGCAATATCTTTACACTTTGTCCTCCTTACCAATTAACTTGAAACGGAAGGTTCAAGAAATCTAAGCCTGGTTTAAATGCACAATAATAATAAAAGTTTTTATTACATTCGCTATTATTATGATGTGTTAAATGGCGGGCACATTATAACATGATTGAATTGATATGAAAAACTCAAACAGAAAGATTCTATATTGTGATGGTAGGCCACCTAACCTCTGTGTACATTTTCTAGGGACAGAATTCCGACAGAATTTGTTCCCTTTTTTCGGGGCTGGGAAGCGTTTGTTCCAGCGCCCCCGGACAGAGAACATACATAACAGTTTAGTATATACACTATTCTCTGTGTGGGTTCTAGGGCCTCAATGTTGACTAATTAGGTGTGAAAGGGGTGGGAGCTTTCTTCGAGATCCGAGTGCATCCGAATCAGAGTCAAGGAACCAACAATTTGCACACAAAATACGTCAGACACGTAAAACGTATGTGCGCGCAAAACTCAAGTTCTGGAACAAGACTTAAGTCCAGGGATGTACACACAACAAGAACGTTCAGCTCAAGGTACAGCCAGTAAAAAAAAAAAAAAGAAGAAGAATAAGAAAAAGAAGAAAAAGATATACAATACATGATGTCGGTATCTGTTTCCAGCCTTCTGTCTTGTGTACTGTACAGAAAGTAGGTAAGTAAGTCAGTTGTACCCCACCGGGACATCACACAGAGCGATAAACACCCGGTGACGCAAAGTGCCACCATGAGGATCACCAGTGGAGAGGTCACAGATACCCCGTTTAACTGTTAGGTTATATGAGGCCCCCGGCAACAGCAAGGGTGGGGCTTCAAAACAACAAAAAATTTCGTCCCACAATGGGGACGACGAATCTCAACAGACTGAAGGTTAAATGTCAAAGGTTAAAGGTGGGAGGATTCACGTTACTGCACTGATTTTTATTCCATATGGCTATATCTCTCTTCACGTAGAATACAATTTTTAGTTATTTTAAAGCCCCACCCTTGCTTTTCTGAGGCCCTAAACATAGGCCATAGCTCAACGGCTGAAAGGCGTTTCCGGGACCTCTGCGCGGGTGATCCTCGTCCGCATGGTGACACTTTGTGTCATGGGGTGTTTATCGCTTATATGATATCCTGGTGGGATACAACGTACCCCGTAGCTCCTGCA